TTTCTTTTTAAATAACTTTTTTTTTTAATTTCAGAAATGCAAAGTACTCCCACCTAGAGATAACCAGCTGCCCTATGGCTGAAGCCCAGCTTTGATCCTGATGTGCGTTGACCCTCTTGATGCATCAGGAAGCCCAGGTGTCCTTGTCCACCCCCAGGGCTGCCCCTGCCCCACTGGCCACCAGGCTCTGGCCCAGTCCCAAGAGCAGAAGTCTGCCCCTAGCCCCTCAGTGGGTCCCTGACCACGGCTCACCAGTGTCGGGGTGGGGCCCCTACTCTGATGAACTGTGCCTTCTGCCCCAGGGTCCTGGTGCCAAGACAGTGTTTGCCCAGTGAGTGGCAGGCCTCCCTTCCCTCACAGCGTGGAGACAACGTCCTGAGCTGTTAGCTCTTCCCTGGCTGGCCGCTCCTTTCTTGCCACGGTTCTTTGGCCAGTCCCTCCTCCCCTCTTGTCTCACCTCTTCCCCACCCCATTGGCCTCTTTCCTATTGTGAATAATGTTGCAGTCAACATGGGTGAGCATGTATCCTGAGGGCTTCATTGCTGGTTTCTTGAGGTTGTAGACTGAGAAGAGGGATTTATGGGTCACATATTATTTCTATTCCCAATTGGGCTGGGCTGGGCCTTTGGGCAGAGGCGGCTGAATGCAGTGGCTAGATTAATGCTTCCTGATAGGAAACTGAGTGGTCATGGGAAATGGGGTGGGTAAGAACGTAGGTCCACATTAAGGAGCAGTCCTGATGAAAACAATCAGACTGTAAAGGAAAGACAGACATTTCTCTGTAAAACAGAGCTGACTAACCATTTGGACAAGGAGCACACACCATTCACAGCAGCAAGAAGAGGAAGCAATCTCAATGGATCTCAATGGAGAAATGGGTACACTGCGGCTCATGCACACAGTGGAGTACTAGACAATGTTCCAAAGTGACAGTGCACCTTGGGAACAATCGCATAACATCGATGCACCTGGAGGACATCATTTACTCACTACCATTGAGGGTGCTGACTCACAGTGGCCCCCTGTGGATTTCTGGGACTCTTTGTGGGAGGAGAAAGCTCCATTTTTAAAAAAAATAAATCTTTTTATTGGAGGCTCTTAGATATAACGGTCCATACATCCATTATATCAAGTGTACATGTACAATTGTTGGCTTCAACGATTTCTAAACATTATCCTTCTTCTTGAGCCCTTTGATATCAGTTCCTCTCCCCACCCCCGCCTTCCCCACTGTGCCACCCCATGAACCCTTAATATATCATGTATCATTATTATTTCTATGTATCTTACACCTCCCATTCTATCCCTTCACCTATTATTCTGGTGTTCGGCCCCCTTGAGGGGTTTACTCTGTCATTGCTATCCATCCCCTTTCCTACCCTTCCCCTCCTGGAATCATTACTCCTATTACTGATTCTGTGGGGGGTTGTCTTTTCTGAATTCCGTATATTGAAAGCTCTCATCTGTGCCACTGTATGCACAGTGGTCTAGTGATTTTCGAAGTAGGACTGAGATTATGATAGTTGGGGGGAGAAAGGATTAAAGAACCAGAGGAGTGTTGTGTGCTTTGTCAGAGCTAAACTGCGCCCTGAATGGAAGGCTCCGGTTTCCCCCTGCGGGGCTGCTGGTGGTTTCCAACTGCTGACCATGGGGCTCATGAGTAGTGGCTGCCCCCCAGGGCTTCTCGGGGGCATTGGGCTGAGCGAACTTAGCCAGCCATGGCAGGACAGATGCATGAGACCACTAGTGTACAAAGTCGCACGAAGGAAACATCCTTTGATAGTTCTAGGATGGGGAGGGCAAAAGAGGGTACATTACTGGCTAGAGAACTGATGTGTTCAGTGGGGTGATAGGACAGGCAGTGTCCAATCAAAGGGGCTACGCTAAGAGGAGAGTGAGCGTTCGAGCCTCCATCCTGCAAGAACAAGAAGCACGTAAAGCCAGTGTGAGAGAGAGCCAGCTTTGGCTCAGGATATTGGCGTACGTGTGATTACATTGGCTGCACACCTTTCTCTGAATGTGATAGAGCGTGTCCGGCCACCGCTAGGAAGACATAATCAACCACTTTGAAAGAATGAACTGCTAGACTTTGAGAACCCTAGCCGCAGGGTGACATCAAGCACAATAGACATGACAGTTTACCCAGAAAATGTTCTACGTCCTACTTGACTGAGGGGTGACAGGGGTCGCACAAGTTCGGGAGCAGCGTGTAAGTCAGGTATAACGATTGGCAAGAGCGTGGAAGTGCAAAGGGATCACACCAACAGTCGTTTCCATAACCCTGAGACCAGAAGGCCTAGCAGGCATCCACCCACTATCTCCAGATGCTCTGAAAGGGATCACATCTGGAGGCCTGGATAGGGAAGAAGAAAAGGTTTGAGCAAACTGAAAATTAGAGACCAGGCTTCCTAGTTGGACAGCTGAGACTACAGTCTTAAGTCACCCTTCATATTTTGAACGTGTTGCTCACCCCTTTGCAACCAACTGAGAGACAGGTCTCTAAGGAGAACAACACGTTAGTGAGGCTAGTACACCTTAGAATAATCAACCACTTCAGGTCAAAAAGGCCACCTTTACCCAAGAATGAAGTTTGGAAAGGTTAGGAAAGCATAATAAGAGGGTTTTTGGTTTGTGTGTGTGTGTGTGTGTGTAAGTAGCTCACTGTCTTCTTGATAAAGGCCAGTAAGTTAAGTGCTTTGCATATTTCTTTGAAATTCCAGAGCAGTACTTGAAGCAGGTGGAAGAAGTTTCTAGAAACTACGGGGAAACTCCCACGGCCTTCGGAAAAGCAGTTAGACCAAACCATGCTGACCAAGAGTGGAGACTGGCTTAGAGAGAATTTGAGCAAGTTCGAGGGTGGAGTGTTCTCCACTGCACAGACAGGAAGTCAAGGTGAGGAGGGGCGGGGGAAGGTCATCTGGCTAGGAAGTGTAGGAGCCAGGATTTGAACCCTGCACCCTGGATAGAGGGTTGTGTCTAGGGCACTGTACTCCACGTTCCTTCAGTGGCTCTGCAGTGTGCTGAGTGTGGGAAAGGAACTGATGTCTTATGGAGGTGAAGTTCGCAGTTCCCGCCCTGCTGTCTGGTATGCCCTGGGGACAGCCCTGGGCTGGTAGGACTCTGGCCCCTGTTCACAGGCCACTCTGTCTGCAGTGATCTGGTCTTGTCTGCTGGCCACTGGAGGTTTCTGGGGACTTTCCCAATAGCCCTCAGCTAATCTTATGTTTGACCACAGCTCCTTGTACATCCTGCCGTTCACTGCAGCAGATGGTTCAGCTCTTTCTCCTTCTGCAAGCTGCAGAAACCCAGGGGACAGGGAGGGGGAGTGTGCGTCAGCCTCTGTGAGTCCAGGGCAGGGCTATGCAGGTCACTGGGAGACTTGGCCAAGGGGAGCTGAATTCGTTGATGATGCTGAGCCTTGATTGAATCCAGGCCTCTGAAAGTTAGTCCTAGAAAACCTTACTGTCTCTGCGTTTGGGGAACCTTGTTGTGTCCCAGAGCCAGAACCATTCATGCCATCTTCCTGGGATCCACATCACCTGTCACCCGGGAAATGAAGTTGGTGTGGAGAGGCTGAATCTTCCCAATGTTACTGCCCCTGGCCAGCCCTCTGCCCATGCCCAGCCTCTTCTCAGGCCCTGGCTGGTAGAGGCCCGGTGGGCATGGACTCGCTTCGTTTTAAAAGCTCGGGCATTGTCCTTTCCATTTTCCAGCCCTGGGGGCAGTGTCGCTGACAGTAAGGAGTCAGAAGTGAAGCCCGAGGCTCCCGGCCCCTGCTGGTCCCCCAGGACCCGCCATCAGTCCTGGATGCGCTGGGCGCAGACTCTCTAAGGACTGTGCTGTCATTGCTTTCACGGGGCCGTGAGCTTAACTGATCAGGAGCTGCTGCCGTGTTCCAAGAGGTGGGCTTGAGGACCGCGCAGTATGGACTGGTTACCTTTGACTTCCTTTAGCAGCTCAAGATTCATTTCGAAAGACAAAACAAAAACAGTTCGACCTATTTTGTGACAGCTGGTGTGACTAATTAATTCTCTTTAGGGTGCGGTGGAACTGTAAGGCACCTCATAAACACCACATCATAGTGTGCTTCCTGTTTCAAGGAGTGCGCCTCGTTAGGAACATCTCTTAGTGATTCACGTTAAGCAGGAAACTGTCCTCGATGGCTGTATCAACCTCTTCTAAGTCCTAGTACACGCCCTTTTGGAAACGAGTAAGTTGAACGAATGAAGTCGGGTGTCAAGACCTGAGTGGGTGCTCCTCTTCCAGTGGACTCTCGTAGTTTGGGAACTGTAGTCTGAGGCGATGGCATGAGCCACCGGTCTGATGGAGCTGACGCAGTTGGTCTTTGGCAGACGGGCTGAGTCTGCAGGGTAATGGCGTTGCAGCCTGGACGGCATAAAGGTTCCCACCGAAGCTCCTCGGAAGGCAGAGAATGAAGACGAGATGGCAGATGAACCTGAGTGGCCTACAGAATGTGTGTGCAAGTCTCAACCCTTCCCTGAAATCCCCAGGAGTCCTTTGCTTCCCCTCCATGATCATATTTCCCTCCACATCTTCAGGTAAAACGGTTTGACCTGGGAGGAACCCTTTTTCTTCTGTGGCTTCTGGAATCCCTGGAATCTCAGTGCTTGAGAAACACACAGGGATATAGATGCGTGTGCATATGTCTGTGTAGATGTATATTGTGGGTGATTCCAGAAAACAGCCACAGTAACACTGGTTTCCAAAATATAATTCTGTCATTGTTGGCGTGTGACCCTTTTGCCCAAGAAAATCGGCGCGTAGCTGGTTTTCCAGTCACCAGGAAGCATTTACACAGACAAGCGGAGGGCTTGCTCAGGGGACAGTGGTTACTCTTGTTCCTCGTTCCTGTTCCTGGAAACATCAGTTGGGAAATAACCGTCACTGGCTTCCCCATGCGTGCTTTCTGCTGTACAGACCGCCCTCTAGGGACTTGCTGCGTGCACCTCATCCTTTATTTTCTCTTCCTTTGCCCGCAGTTGCGGCTGTCTACTTGGAGGGAGCCTGGTGGCCTCTTGAAGATGTGCTGAGGACGGCTGACCCTGCAAGAGACGGTCTGAAGAAGGTGAGCCAAGAGATCAACAACTGAGGACATCACTTTCTTTTCCACCAGTTTCGGCTGTATGCCACTTGTTGGTGTGTTCACCAGGTTGGGGACGTGTCACCACTATTCTGCTTCCATCTCCACTATTTAAAAGGTTTCTCATTCCAAACAGAAACTCAGCGGTCTTTAAGCAGTAAGCTCCTACTCCCAGCTGTTGGGACCAAAGATAGTCTTTTGCCTGTATGCCTATTCTAGACATTCCTATCAGGGGGTGGTGGGGGGGGGTGGTGGCCAGATAATATTCACCCTTCTTTATCTGACGTCGTCACTCAGCACACATGTTCAAGGCTCCCGAACGTGGTGGCATGTGCCAGGAGTTCATTTCTTCATGGCAGAGCAATAGTCCATTGTCTGTATGAACCATGTTTTGTGCATCCTTTCGTCTGTCGTGTCTACCCTTGGGCTCCTGTGAGTCACACTGCAGTGAGCAATGGGGCTCAAGCGTCTGTTGGGGTTGCTACCTTCCAGTCTTTGGGGCATCTACCCTGGAGTGGACTTGTCGGGTCATTGCCCAATTCTGTCTGTAGCTTTTTGAGGAGCTGCCAGAATGGCTTTCCCAAGCGGCTGCTCCATTGGACACCCCCAACAGCGCTGTGTTACGGTTCCCGTCCTTGCCCAACTTAGGCAGCCGTTGTTCTCGTCTGTCTTTTGGACGCAAGCCATCTCGGTGGGTGCAGAGTGGTGTCGCATGGTGGCTTTGATCTGCTTCGTTCTGCTGGCTAATGATGCTGAGGGTCATTTTTGTGTGCTTCTTGGCCTTGGTATATCTTCTTTGCACAAGTGCTTATTCAAACCCTCTACCTTCTCACCCAAAGGGATTACTTGTGTTTATTGCCGCCTGCAGAGTTGTGTGTGTGGCCTGGGCTCCCGCTGCCATTGAGCCATTGTCAGTTCAGGAGCCCTCTTGTGTGGTAGAGGAGAACTGGGCTCCACAGGGTTTCCCCGGCCGAGTTTGTGGAAGAAGATGGACAGACTTTTCTTCTGAGGCACCTCAGGATGAGCTTGAACCTCCTGCGTTTTGGCTAGAGCTGAGCAGGTGAGCTGCTGGCACCAACCAGGCCCCCATCCGTATTCCAGAGGCAAGTCTCTGATCGGCTCTTGGTGAACACCTCCCCCTCGCTTCTCCTGGCTGTCTCGTACAGGTCTGGTTTTCCGTGTCTCAAGAGGAATTCGTTGGCAAAGAAGGGTGAGTCTCTCAGTGAGCACGGTGCCCCTGATGTTCCCCTTCGGGTGGTCTTCTCATTCTGAAGAATCAGCGTCATGCTCTTTAGAATGAGGAGGGCGGCTCCTTTCGTGTGTAGGACTGCCGAGTTTGGATGTGGAAGCACAATCCACCCCTTTGGGAAATGTGGTCCATGTTGTTCAACAGAAAGAAATGTGCATGTATTTCCTCCTGGTGAACGTGTTTGGAAGGCCCAGCCTCCCATGGCTCTGAGCGAGATCCTTATTTCCCTTCCATTTGTAGAACGCGGGTCTGGATGTTTTCCCTCCTTTCAATTACATTTTGTTTCTTAGCCAGTTCTTCACGCAGTACCGCGCAAGCTTTCTTCATGGTCTTTTTGTTTGCGTAATTAGCGATCCTGGTCCCTGGATCATGGTTTGCGTCTTCGGAAACATTTCTGAGTCAAAAGCACAGGTACACGTTTCCCCCACAATGACATCGGGCACAGGAAGAACATCTTTCTCTCCTGCCAGGGTTGGATTGGGTCTTTCCCTTCTGCCAGATGAAATCCGCCTTTCTCTTCTGGCTTGTTTTCCCCGGAACTTTTTGGGTCTAGGAGTTGAAAACCATAACCTCCCTCACGTCATAGGTCATGCTGGTGCCTGGCTCGTTGTTCTTCCCCTCCGACCTCGGTTTGGCGGCTGCTGTGGGAGACACGGGGGTGGGCGGCTGCCTGCGGTTCGGCTGTCGTGGCTCTTCTCATTGGAGGTCTGGCTCCGGATGAAGCTGAAGTAGTTTACATTCTGGCTCACGGATACGTTTGTTGGCATTGGGTACTATGCGCCATTGGCTTGGACGCTGCAGCTGCTTGGTTTTTATTAGCAGAGGCTTTGGAAGTGCTCAGTGCTTCTAGCGGACACGTGGGTCAGCTCCGTCCGTGTCCAGGGGCGGAACTGAGGCTCCAGGTTTACGTGTTGCTGAGGAGCTCCGAGCACATCCAGACCAAGAACTTACAACGTTAACTAATCATGAAGATGTTACTGAATCATCATTATTATTATGGCTTAAGGTCTAGCGTTATCTATATTTTCGAGCATGTATTGAACAAGTCATTTGTACAGTCTCAGGACGGATGGCTGAAGATGCAGAAGGGGGCAGGCTGGGCGCACACGCCCTGGACACGGTGGCCCTTGCCAGCTTCTACCCCATCTCCAACACCCCCGTCCCCGCCCCCGTCGTTTCTACCCCGTCTCCAACACAGCTCTTGCCCAGCTGTCTCCAGGCCTCTTTAGAACGAGGCAGGGGGATGAAGAAATGTCAGCACTCGCCCTCTTTGAGCTGTAGTTTCTTCATCTGTAAAGACTAGCTCCTGCCCTGCAGACCTCCCCCGTGGGTGGTGAGCGTCAGAGAGTGACAATGGGCAGGTGTCACCGCCCTAGCTCAGGGTAGGGTGGACCTGGTGACCTTCCTGTACCAGCATGGTGGGAGTTACGCCCGGTAGAGCAATCCCACCACACTGTAAGTGGCTGATGGGAGTCGCCTCATAATGCTAGTGGTAGTGGCTCCTTGTGGCTGACTGGACACCCAGCCGTAGGCAGATTCCGAAACCCTGTCCAGTGGGATTGTTGTTTTCATTAGGTGCCGCCCAGTCAGTTCCAACTCACAGGGACCCTCTGTACAAGAGAACGAAGCAGTGCCCGGTCCGGAGCCTCCTCATGATTGTAATGTTTGAGCCCATTGTGCCAGCCACCGTGTCACTCCATCTTGTCACGGTCTTCCTCTTCCATGCTGCCCCTCTGCTTTACCAAAAGCACCGTGTGCTTTCCCAGGGCCTGGAAACGAGGAGCCCCCTTGGCGTAATCATGGAACGCGCCAGCAGCTCTCAGGGAGGAAGACTGCGCGTTCTACTCCTGTAACCGGTTACCGTCTCGGAAACCCACAGGGAGGTCACAACGAGTCAACAGTGACTCGAGAGCGGGAGTTTGGAGCCTCTCCGGATGACACGTCCAAAGTACACGAGATGAGGTCTCACCATCTCTCTTTCTAAGGACTATTCTGGCTGTACTTCTTCCGAGTCAGACCGGTTTCTTCTTTTGGCAGAGTGGTGTTAGGGTGGGCAAATGTGCAATGATTCTATGTGCACGCTGCTGCTGTTCGCTGCCACCAAGTTGGCCCTGACTCACCCCAAGCATAATGGGATCAAACTGCTATGACTCACAGGATGCTCGGTGGTTGATTTTCAGAAATAGTTCACCAGGATTTTCTTCTCAGTCCATAGTACCTGGGAAACGTCACTGAAATCTGTTTAGCATCATAGCAACATGCGAGCTTCCCTCCGCTGATGGACAGGTGGGCGGTGTCGACACATGACGTGAATCTGGATCTCCTGCACGGAAAGGAAGAATTCTACCATGAAACCCACACTCCTCCAGAGTGCAGCTCGATTAGCTATGTCTGCCGTGGACAAAGCAGTGAGAGGCCTTCTGTATGCCATGTAACGGAACAATTATTGCTATCAAAGCATAGAAATCACCACTCTACGAGTAAATATGAAAATGGGAAGCTATTGTTTCTCGGCACTTCATCCATTTATACTCCTCTGAAGGCTGTGTTTCCATCTCTCTGACCCAGTCCCAAGGAATTCTGGGCTCTTCAATTTACACCAAGTCAAAACAGCACTTCTGGCATCCTCCATGGATTAACATTTGAAAAGTTCTTTGAGTTTTGGACAACAGAAAGACGCTTGAAGGGAGGTGGGGGAAGTTTTCCTGTGAACTTCCGGTAGGATGGTCCTTGCTACCCTCAAAGAATGAGCAAGCGCATTGTCATGATAGAAAAACAAAACCATTTGGAGCCACGTTCTTGCCTTCTTTTTCACCAATGCAGTTTTAAAATTCTGAAAACGTAACTTCCTAACAAGCCCATATGATCGTCCTTGGCCCTTTCAGAAAATCCATCTAGACCAGCGGTTCTCAACCTGTGGGTTGCGACCCCTTTGGGGATCGAACGCTCCTTTCACAGGGTTGCCGGATCATAACAGTAGCAAAATTACAGTTTATGAAGTAGCAACGAAAATAATTTTACGGTCGGGGGGTGTGTCACCACAGCATGAGGAACTGTATTAAAGGGTCGCGGCATTAGGAAGGTTGAGAACCACTGATAGACTAACCTTTTCATTACTGAGCTGACTTTTCTGCCTTGAATTTAATAGGCCCAGCCCTGTAGATCCCCTCAAAAAAAGTACTTCTCATTAGACGTTTACATTTTTTGAAGGCACCCTAACAAGGCGAAGAGAAGTATAGTTCTGAGCGAATTGCTCTGCAGTCATCCCCGGACCACACAGACCTGTTCCACGACTTCTGGTCTTGGATAAACCTGTGCATGCGTGGGCTGGAGCCCTGGTAGCAACACTTTCATGTACCCTCAGATTTGACATCCCTGGCTATTCAAAGAGAGGGGTTAAAAGCATTGTTTTTATGTAGGTGAAAATATATACAAGATCGACCCCACCACAAGAATGTCTGTGTTCTCCCTCAGGGACATGGGCTATTCTTAAGTCGGGCCACTCTTCTTTTCCCACTTACCTTCCACACCACTTTCATTGTGCCGACCTGGCCGATAAATACATGTGGGGTTAATTGAAGGGCAGAGGATAAATGGCTCGGTGAGCCTCACTTTTTTAGTTCTCTGATCTCTTGCTTTGTGATGGTCGCACCAGGGTGCAGCTGCCTTAGCGGTTGCCTGCTTCAGCTTGCAAGGCTCACTTCCTGCAAGACATCCCCAAGGAGAAGCCACATGG